CAGAGGGGCAAGCAGCTTGCATGAGCTGATAGGTACCTGGAACTGGCTTCCTTTGTGCACCAGCACCTGCCCTCCTCTTCTATACTTCTAAGTCTGGGTTTTAATACAGGGATGCCAGGACACCCTCATGCCCCCCATGGACTGCTACTGGCCCCCTCCCTTGAGAACCATGGAACACTCATAGCTACTAAACTGTGATGCAATTACATAAGCAGCTTGCATGAGCTGATAGGTACCTGGAACTGGCTTCCTTTGTGCACCAGCACCTGCCCTCCTCTTCTATACTTCTAAGTCTGGGTTTTAATACAGGGATGCCAGGACACCCTCATGCCCCCCATGGACTGCTACTGGCCCCCTCCCTTGAGAACCATGGAACACTCATAGCTACTAAACTGTGATGCAATTACATGACTTCAATTAATTGCTAACACCCCCTAGAAAATACAGCTCTTTTCCAGTTGTCAGCTGGCTGCAGTATTTTGCTTTCCTCATCACATCTCTGCTGCTTATAAATGAGTAACTTAACCCAAGCTAATTTTTACATGGCAGCAGCTGCTGGGCAATTTTCTTATAAAATTGCTGGTAATTCTTTTGCACTGCAGTTCATCTTTTAATTAGTAGCCTGCTTCAGGTATGTAGCTCATTAGGTGCTAACTCATTTACCATTGAATTAAAGACAAGGGTTTTTCCTTATTTATATAGTAACATTCTTTTAGCATGTTACAAGGCAAGGTGGGTACAAAAGTCAGAAAATGAAATAGTGGTAGGTTAGTAACATTTTATAAAACTACTCCACAATTATTCCAGGGGCTGATTTAAGACCATAGTAAATTTCAGCAACAGTACTTCCCAAAAGGTGTCAAACACTGGAATTTAGTATTCATTGGGTTTGCCCTTTTCTAGGAGAAAGATTATCTGAAATGTGCATCTGAGTCTGTTCAGGAACTGTAAGCTTGGACTACCAAGATATAGCATGCAGCTTCCTCTTATACTTAAAGCAAGGTCAGAGTTTGGTTGTGCCCAGAAAACTGGAAGTTTAAGAGATACAATACTGAGTGGCCACTGGAGGCAGCCATCCAAGAGTGGCCAGCAGGAGCCATCTTGTCTGCTTCCAGAATAGTAGGTAGCCCTCCTGGCCCAAACCCTCTTCCCAGCACTGCACCCAAGGGCTGGGGGTGAGAAGGCCTCTGGCTTGGATAGAAAGCCTTGCCAGGTCCATGTTCACACCCTGCCCCAACAGACTCAAGCAACACCAGGTAAGTCTTCTAGTACTGAATAAAGCAAGATCACTGAAGGATAGGCTCTTCAAATATTCACATACAAGTTTCCTCAGATAAGTGAGTTGCAGTCCAGCTACTCTTGACTGACAAAACAAGGAAATTTTGTCCAGTGAACAGCTTCCTAGCACCAAGTTGATTTTATTGCTATTAAGTATGCCATACACCTTATTCAAACAGACAGGCTCAGCTGTAACTTGTACGGTATCATTCACAGGATCAGAGTATCACACTTAATCTGATTTAGTGGTATTAACTTGAACTCAAGGTAGAAGCAATGGCTTGCTAATAGCTGGAGTTCAAATTTTAAACTCCTGTGGGGTTAATTTATTTTAACATAAAACCAGTGAATATTACCTCTTGCAGGAGCCAAGGTTTTCATGGAAGGGTGTGGGATAATACACCCCTATCCCACATGCTCCTGTAAGCAACTAGTCACTTACCCCACCTTGCTGCCACTTCCCCCACCTTGCTGCCTCTATCAGAGAGGTCAACAAGAGGGGGAGAAGAAACCAGCTCCCCTCCAGTACAGGGAGGGGGCTAAGGACACAGCAGGGACTAAATTAGTCCCAGTGCCCACTGCCACACTTTGAAACATACAAGAAGCAGCACAGGGCCTTGTGTTCATTGCTGTGCAACACCCCTGCCCTTCCACCTTACTACCTCTAAGGCAGCAAGGGCAGTTGGGGGGAAGAACAGGAGCCAGTATTGAGGGGGAGCCAGCTTAAAAGCCCAGTTCCCTCCAGCACTGTCTCCTAGGTGCTGTGTCTGAGCTGGGTGCCTCCCCTAGACAAGAGCTGCTGGACTAGAATGAGCACTGTGCCTTTGAAATTTGAATATACCATAACTCCAATTGTCCAGCACTCACTGGAACCGCTCCATGCTGCTTCCCCAAGTTCACTGATGCTGAAACTGATGAGCAGCAGACATGGGCAAGCTGCAGCACAGGGGGGTGAGGGGCAGCACTGCAGGACCAGCCCCACATGCCCCTGCTCAGGGATAACTTGGGAGGGTGGGGGGCCCGCTCCCCTCCCCAAAACTCAGCAGCAGTGCAGGGCTTCCCCCACCTTCCTGCAAACCCCCCCTCCCCCACCCCAGTACCTCCTGATAATCCAGCACCACCTAAATCCCAAAAATGCCAGATTATCAGAAGTCTACTGTAGTAGGGTCCTTACTACATTTAAAATGTGAAGCTGCAGCCTGGGTGGCTCCTGGAGGTAGGCCTGCTTCCACTTTGCAGAGCAGTCCTATCAACTACAATTAGCCTGATAACATCCTTAATGTGGAATTAGTAACTGCAAGACAGAAGCAGGATGAAAGTAGCCCATTTCTTTTTCTTGATGATTTAATATAAATACCTCCAGAAAGCAAGAGTGTTGCATGAAGAATTTGTAGAACCAATAAGCTGTTAGTTTGAGGATAAAATATTAAATTTACCTACAATTGGTATTTGTTTAATCATTTAATGTAACCAAAACTCATGAAGTAACAACATATTAAGACTAATTAGAAGCTGCAAGACACTTTGATGTACATGTTGCATACGGTTTGAATTGATTTCAACACTAAAAATTATTAAAAGATGCATTATTTATTTACACATTTTCCAGCTCTCAGTTAACCATGGTGAATGTTCAAAGTTAAAAAACCAGTAAGCAATAACCACAAGATGAAAACATTTTAAACTATACTTTATACACAATTTATACAAAGGAATACCTTTTTAAATAATACAACCGGACACAAAAATATACATTTTTAGAGAAATTCACATCAGTAACTGTATAAAGCTCTCTCTCCAGTACTAGGGTCCTGAAAATTTAGGACTAAACATTAGCTCTGTAAAAGTAAAAAGTTACTAACCAGTCCTGAAAGGCCACTATTAGCACATGGACATTTTCAAGGCTATCAGCTTATATTTTGTGTATTCAAGTTTTGAGGTCCTTACGATTACACAAACATCAGAAATAGTGGTATAAACCATTTAGGAAAGCAGATTTTTAGTGCCTATATTAAAATTGTGTAGGCTCAAGTGACCCACTAATTTAAATACTGTTTGGTACCATTTTGTACTCTAAAAATTAAAAAAAGTTAGAGTAATGCACTTACAACTTTTCCTATTGAGCATGCTTGCTCAACACATGATTTTGTATTAGGAATGTAATAAAACCTCCCATACAATGATTTTAAAATGAAAACCATTCACTTTTTCCTTACTTGAGTGCATTTACATTAAGGCTTATCATCTGACCCAAAATTTTACCACAAAATAAATGGGTCCACAACTATGCTAGTATGTCTCACTGAGACTTAGCATTAAGAGAATTAAAGCTCAACACCTTAAGGAAATGGACACAAGGACACATGCTGATACCTTGAATATGTTCTCCTTTGTCTCAAATAAGATAATTAATAGTATTAGACCAGTGTTTAATTTGTTCTTTTTAAAAGCAATTATATTGTAACATTTTTGGCAAAATGTCCAGCTCCTGTCTGTAGTTCCTACAAATTTCATGCAGAAAGATACATTTCTTAACATTAAGAAATTACATTTTTGATGTAAGTGGAATGTATATCCAGAACTGGAGACAAGACCTATCAAATATAAAAACATTTTTCTGGATTTTGTCGTCATACATTTGTGTCTTGCAATAAAGGTTCTTTGGCCTCACCAGGGGCCTGTGGACTGTGTGGATGACCATGACCGCCACTGTGTTTTTTCCAATTGCTGGACCGTATATTTAGATTGGTGTGTTCTGGAATAAACAAGGCAACAAGCAGAGCCAGCAGCACAGAACATGCTCCAAACAAGAATGGAGGTCCAGGAATTATGGAGTTCTGAAAACAAGACATTACTTTTTTAGAGGAACAGTTAAATCCATAGACAGACCCTTAGCAGTTTGACATCAGGCTCTGTACTTAAAATTTTTACAATTTAATTACTTTAAATGAGTGGGTTATTTCAATATCTAGCTCTAGTAATCCTTACTCAAGCTCTCGAAAGTTGAGGGAAGAAACCTTGAAGAGGAGAAATCTATTCATGTTTTTCTTTGGGTGTCTCCTTAAATGACAGAATTCACTGACATCACAGGAAACATGTCAGTGCCTATTGTCTGACTTGCCAGAAATACAGATGTAAATACTCAGATGTGCTGCAGTTTCCAAGCCATGTAATTAAATTTTTTTTAGCATTCAGATGAAGTCTAAAGCTTCACTGTCCTGTTAACTTGAGGTTTTACCTCAAGTTTTGTCTTTAACCCAGCTCATTTCAACACACACAACTCTAGCTAGTTAACTCGTGGGGATTGGTTAAAAAATGAATGCTGCTGACACATGCTAATCCAGTAAATCCATGTAGCTCAAATATTTATCAAGAATGCGGTCGCTCTTACTAAAGCTAGGCTACAG